AGCTTTATTAACGTTTAATGTTTTTATAATTATAAGGATGTCTTTAGGTGTTGCTTTTCTAAAATTAATTGTTACGTTCACAGGTTGTCTGTATTCTATTTTATCTAAAATATTATTTTTACATTGAGGTATTATATTTTGAACACCACTATAAAATTTATTCGCAAAGTTATTTGCAATAATGCTTTCATTTTTGTTTTAAATTATCTTTATACTAGCTGTTACCTGCGGCTTCGCCCGCATGGTCACTGGGAAATGAACTATCCATTGCTTTTTGAATTGAAAGAAAACTGAGTTTTATAGATTTGTCAGAGATGCAGCCAATAAAAGCAAACTGAGCAAAATTGATTCGTCAGCCTATTTAAATGTTTTGAAACGCAGCGTATAGGAAAGCATGAAAATATCCTGTTTATTCCAAAAGGAAATGGGATATTTTTTTAATTAAAGGAAACTGAGCATAATTATCCGTCAGGGATGCAGACTTTTGAAAAGAAACTAAGCTAAATTGATTTGTCAGAGATGCAGTTTTCTGAATTAAAAGGAAACAGCCAAATAAAAGATGCGTCAGAGATGCAGCCTTTTGATTTGAAAGGAAACTGAGCTTAATAGGTCCGTCAGAGTTGCAGCATTTGGAATTGAAAAGAAACTGAGTTAAATAGGAAATTTTGAATTGAAAGGGAAGATCTGTGGGAATTCTGATTAATTGATTGTGGGAATTTTGAAAAAAAAACTAACTGAACACTATTTTAAGACGCTACTGTACACAATGTTATATGTTTTTCCATTCGGGGAAAGAATGTGAAGATTCTGGGCATTTGTCACACGCGAATATGCTACATACAGCTGACCATGAGAGAAGCACGGTTTTTCTAAGTTGATCCCCGCTACCTGTAACGTTTGCCCTTGCGCTTTATTAATTGTCATTGCAAAACTGAGCTTAATAGGGAACTGCAACCTTTTGAATTGAAAAGGAAGATCTGTGGGAATTATAGGGATTCGTGGTATAATAACATTTTCACCTTTTCCTACGCCTGTAAAAATTGTAGCACCGATTATGTTCCGTCCAAGATGTGTCACACGCAGCCTTGTCCTGTTACATAACCGAGGAGCATCTAAATTTTGCATTAGCATAACTGGGACGCCTAATTTTAATTGAAACTTATGTGAGGGCACACCTGACAACTCTAGAGAATTTAGAAACTCTACGGGATATGAAGTGCTCTGTTCTGTGTCCATAACTGTGTCTACTGACAAATGCTCTGTTATTCTCCTGCTACTTCGCTTAATATATCTGAATTTATTTTGTTAATGCTCTCATTTTTTGGTGCAAGAACTTTCACATAACCAATTGTCTTCATGCATGTTGTTCGTTTAATCTGAATAAACGCTCGGAATTAATTCGGAATGACTCTGTACTAAATTACAAAAATCTCTCGTCAATTTAACGCAGCCCTCAGCATCCGTTTCCAACCGCCCATCGCCAATTTTTAATAGTGTGTCAGCATAGTTTCCAGCATTGATATTATTATACTTTTTGTCACCTTGTTCCATAAAATAGACGACTTGAGGCATGCTTTAATTTCATCTGCAGGTGTGCCCTTTTGAATGACAGGTAAAGTTTGGCGAAAGTCACCAGCCAGTAAAACCACCATTTCTCCCATTACATCGGTATTGCTGCGCAAATCCTGAAGCGTTCGATTTAGTGCTTCTACAGCTTTTTTATGCGACATTGTACTTTCGTCCCACACTAAAAGTTTGCATTGTCGTAGCATTATACCTCGTGCACTATTTTTGCTAAAGTTGCAGATCGGCGATTCTTCCTGGGCTAGATTTCGGGGGAGTTTTAAAACAGAATGTGCAGTGCGGCCTCCGCTTAGCAGCGTGGCGGCTATACCGGAGGAAGCTACGGCCACAGCAATGTTTTTATCTTTCCGTACTTGCGCTAATAATAAATTTAACAAAAATGTCTTCCCAGTTCCTCCAGGGGCATCTAAAAAGAATAGTGCACCATTTTCAGATTCAATTTGTCCTAATACTTTGTCAAAAATTCGTTTTTGTTCGGGAAGCAAGCGAGGTACAAATTCGGCTACTTGCTGCTGCAAAGGTGGTATATCGTAGTTTGTTTCACGTATAATTTCATCACTGAGTTAATTTTCAGTTGTTCGCTGAGGGCTTGTCATTCAAAAGTCGCTTGATTTTACCTTCCATTGCCATTACTTTATCTTCAATTTTTCAAAGTGCTTCATTATAAATGTGTTCATTTTATGTCATGTTCGCGTGTGTCTGCTGTAGCGTGTGACTGGCACTGCACAGTTTCCTCCATGATTTCATCCCAGTGATGATCGTTTTCTAAAAGATGCAGAGCTTCACATGCTTCTCTATAAGTTGCGCATTCCTGACCGTTGACAGTTTTAAGGTCTTTATATCCTGTAGGACCCCGAACATAGTGCAGCAGCAATCGTAAACAGAAACATTCAAAATTAGTTACATGGACGGTATACACACGACCAATGGCATCTGATGACTTTACACCGGGCCAATTTGCAACAGGCGCGCCTTGAATACGGCGTTTCCACTCCTTCGTACATGTGTTCCAAGTATAATAGCGGGGGACTTCAGAATATAACAACGTTTTTGCAAAGGGGTCGGTTTGACAAAGTTGAAAGAAGGCTGTTAGTGTAGTTTTTGGCGGTGATGCAATTCTTACTTGGAAATTTCTTTCGGTGAAATATACACGCTCTCCATTTTCTAAGTGCACAGCAAGGTGAGTAACTGTTGGGTGCCTTTCGTGTAAAGGGAAACCAAGGAGACGCCACGCTGCCTCGTTACTGCTGACATAACGCCCTGCTTGAAAGGTCTGTACTTCATTAACGGGATTTGCTTCACCTTCACTCCTGAGATTAAATATTGCTTGGTCGCTTCCTTTATTTATGTACTTACAGATACACTTGATTGAGCGGACAGAGCTCCATGCTTCTACATTAATGTGGGAATTAAACATTTTACATAGAATAGGCGAATACGGGACAATCCAGCTGTTATCTAAGGTTTCGAACGCTCCAGAGCGAGATTTGATTGTAACTTTCCTGCCACCATCTTCGGGAGCTCTGCGTTTGTATAAGGGGTAGCCATTGTCATTGTGCACTGTGTCTTTTAATAGCTGTTTAGGGAATTTCTTTGTACATTTTCCTTCTTTCATACATGGCGATATTGAATTTCGTGCTCCACATGGACCGCGAATCATGTTTCGGACGATGGTATCATACAATTCTTTATCTTGCTCAGGATCCGGAATCTCGGCGCTTATTATGTCGTTTATTTGGCTGGGCCTCAACTTCTCTTTAAGCCATATTAGAATGTGGGCATGCGATAATCCTCTTTTTTGCCATTCAATTAAATACATGAAGCACTGCACCTCTCCGAAAATTTTCCCTTTGTTAATTACATACATTAATTTTTGTACTTTTAATCTAAATACTCTAGCAACTAAATCGTGTCTGTCAGTACTTTTTTGGCCCGGCATTAGCTCCTTGGTTTTTTCTTTCCATGTGGGATCGCAAGTAAAAGTAACAAAAAGATCAGGTCTTTCGTAAGTTCGTACATAGGCGAATGCGTCTTGTGTGTACTCATGTAGGTAGCGGGGACTGTTAACGAATGATGACGGCAGAATTACCATTTTACCTAAATCTCTGGGATTTACATTGGCGTCGCTAGAAACTGCATCTTGTAAATGTATATAATTCTCAACGCGCAGCTTTTTTTGATTTAAAGATATATAACGGAGACGTTCACTTTCTAACTTGACATAAATGTCTACCAAAAATTGATGAAATAATTGTCTACACCGGGCTAAGAGGTTAAAATCATTTTCTCGCAACATCATATGATACGCATAAAAATCCATACATGACACTTTTTTGTTCGGAGTAGGCTCCTTTGTTACCGGGTTAATGAGTGGAATTACAAAATGATAACCCTCTTGTCCTTTGCAATAAATCAATGAAACAGCAAATTGAAACAGCACATGCCTGCGGTCTCATCTTTCCATTTTAAAGCGCTGCAAAATCGACATGCCTTGTCCATCAGTCCGATAACAACTAACCTGTGATTTTTATAATCAATCAACGGATCATAATTGAATGCTGCATCATTAAAAACCGACCAATTGTTTCTTTGAAAATTTTGTCGACGTTCAGCTTGGAACTGTGCATTTGCATCTCTTCGCGCCTGTGTCTTTTCTGGTGTTTCAGATGCCCTTATAGTATATTGACGTTCAGCTTGCTCAATGAGTCTGTGTTGAGTTTCATCAGGTGTTTCCACGGCTCTTAAGGCGGCCTGACGTTCCGCTTGTTCGAATAGCCTTTGCTGACTTTGAGCAGGTGTTTCAGTACCTCTTAAAGTAGATTGACGCTCTGCATGTTCAAGACGCCTTTGCTGACTTTGAGCAGGTGTTTCAGTAGCTCTTAAATTGGCTTGACGCTCTGCCTGTGCAAGACGCCTTTCCTGACTTTGAGAAGGTGTTTCGGAAGCTCTTAAAGAAGCCTGACGCTCTGTCTGTTCAAGACGCCTTTGCTGACGTTGAGAAGGTGTCTCAAATGCTCTAAAAGCAGCCTGACGCTCTGCTTGTTCTTGCCTTCTCAGTTCAGCATCTTCTAAAGATTCTAGCGACCGAGCTAATCTTTTCGCTTGTCTTTGAGAAGATACTCTTGAAAGGCTGGACTTACGTTTGCGAGGCATTATGAAGTAACAAAAAACCTATTTATAAAAAATCGTTAAAATACCTAAACGGAATTAAATTTCCTTTTAAATATTTTTTTTAAAGCAAATCCAAAATATTTATAATGAATAAATATTTTTTTAAATAAAACAACAAAACCAATTCAAGACACAACACAAATCCGAAAACGATAGCCAAAAAAATCGAATCAACTTAAACCTAATCACAAAACAAATCGCAGAAAACCGAAATCGAAAGCAGTAGTCAATATAAATACACGTAGTTAAACACGTAGTTTTACGGAGTTATTTTTATTATAACCAGAACGCTTTACTTCTACAATATTTTCAGTTAAGCCTAGTGTTTGTTGTATTTTTTGTACGACTTTTGAAATATCTTCGTTGTCAGTGAAGGGAATATTAAAAATATCAATAGTTTTACTATGCTGTTGCTGCTCATGTACCTGTAATCGCTGTTCTAATGCACTTAATCTAAATTCTAAGTTTTTATTTTGGTTAGATAATTCGATGTTCTTCTTTTTTATTTCTTTGACTGTAGTTTTAAACGCGTCTATGATTTCGAGTATGTCATCAAGTTTTCTAGAATTGAATTCTAAAGACTCCGCAAACTGGCCCAATTGACGTTGAATTGGATTCTCCACTTTTGTTGTTATTTCTAGCATCAGTTTTTTACCATCTAATGGAACAGAGGCAGAGGTTATAGGCGATCCAAATGCTTCATCACCGTCTTCATCATCCGGTATTACAATCGATGTTCGTCTAGATGAGATGTTTTTGCATTCAGAACATGACCAATCTAGGTTATCATTTGCACGAAGCGCATTTCTTTCTTTGATAGTAAGCCCTGAGCATTCAGTGTTCAAATGCACCATCTTCTCACAACGCTGACACTCCACTCCATGCCGAGTTTTTGTAATATTTTTGTTGCATTTTTCACACTTTGACATAATGCTGTTTGACATAAAATTATTTTCTGCAACCGAACGTCCGATTGCCACGAGCTAGCGGAAACGAATGAAAATAGTTATTATAATATTAAGGAATTTGTGGATGATAATAAGCCCTGAGATTGTGGTGATCGCCACTAAGCCATTTCCAATTTATAAAAGCTTTTAGAAAAAATTACTTCGCAAATATCCGCGTTATAAAATAAAATGATGTGTCTTACTTAGTATGAAGAGCACCTCCCGCCCTCCCTCAATTGCCTGCACTATCCCCGTCACCACTAATCCCAGCACCGCTACTCCCAACACTTAGGACACTCCGGATTAGTGGTCTATTGTCCGCCGCTGATGTCATCAGTCAAGTTTTCCAAGCCAGCTGTATTAAGCAATCCGATGTCTCTCTCTAATATGTCTAATTATCTATGTTGGTCATAAGCGTGTGAAGTGCGTCCTTGAATATCCGCCAATTGGTCTTGTTGCTGTTATATTTAAATGTGGAGTTGGTTATTGATGAAGAACTTGAGAAAGAATTCTAAGTTTCAATCTCGTATTTCACCGCCTTTTGTTGCGATGAGGAGCAGGCGCTGAGCTTGACCTTCCACCCGACTATACGGTCATATAATATGTATCCATGAGCCAATGCGAGGTCTATTATAGAAGTCCGATCCCTGCCGTATGTGACGAAAAAGTGGGTGAGGTGCCGACATTGCAAGTGAAGAGTTCATTTGCATATGCTAGCTCTACTACCGCACATCCTCTGGGGTTGTTGGTCTTACTGCCCCATATGTGATGCCATCCATTGAAATCACCACCTATAATGGTATTGAGGCATCGGGAGGTTTTGAGAAAATTATCTATGTGCTCTAAAGTATTATTTCCGTCAGAATCCGGCTCAATGTATGCGGAAGCTATTAGCATTTTTGGCCGCCACTCGTGAATTGAATAACGCAGTGTTGGTATATTGACATACCTAGTACCTAGCCATAACCTGCTTTGGTTTGGTGAGTATACAAGCATTGACTCTGCCTTTTTGACTAAATTGGTATTTGTTGAGGCCCTGAGTAGGTCGCACCTCATTTCCTGGGCCAACATATAGCTCCGACAGCAATGCAATTTGATAATCACTTGCCATGAAAAAAAAAATTGTGTAAACTCTTTTTTGAACAGAACATTATTATATTTTTATTGATTAAATCCATAGTTAATTCTGTTATTTATTCTTTCTCTCATGGCTCTCAGCTTTGGACATTCTGGTGTTATGGCAGAGTACCGGAGATCCGCCTTAGTTCCAAATTTCTCATTGTAAGATGCACAATTGGCACATTTGACTGTGTCTTGTTTACGCTTATCAGGGCATATTTCCCCTGTGTGCTCCTTGCTGGAGCAGTGCGAGCATTGACTAGACGTAGCCGTACAGTGTTTTTTAATGTGCCCAAACTGCAGACATTTGTGGCACTGTAGAAAGGGTGACAATTCGCTGACGTGCAGTCGCTGGTAATCGACGTTAATTTTGCCCTGTTCCATGACTTTATGGAAGAGTTTGGGTGCCACGAGAAACATTGCATTGTATAGCTCCGGCTTTTTGTTACTAGGATTAAAACGGAGACGCACGTCGTCCTCCACAATAAAAGCCTCTTTCAATTCTGGCTTCTGCCCCCTGATGATACCAACTATTTCTTCAGCTGTTATATCTTTGGAAATACCCTTTAGTGCAATCATTGGCTCAGATATTTTTTGTAGGTTGTCGTCACGTTTTTCAGTTTTGTCAAATTCAATCCTGAGTTGATTGACACTACCTGAACCCTCTCCTATGTGTATCTATCCTATGTATATCGTGTGAGATGCTCCTCTTAAATGACTCAATTGCTTCCTGTCGAGATTTGTGGATTACCTTTATCAACCTTGAGTCAACACGATGGCAGGCTTGTTGATAGGTGGACCGTGGGCTGGTGGCCCAGCAGTCACATTAGGATGAGTGCCTGGCCCTCTGCTGGTTGCAGCGGCCTAGGCGTATGAGGCAGGCCGTGCCTGCTGTTAAAGCTGCGTGGAGATTTGGCCTTTTAATTTGGCCATCACGCTCCTAACACAGACGATAATGTCAGCTTTTAAGTCGTTCTTCGTTTCTTCTTCTTAGTTGGTCTTTATTTTGATCTGGGATGGGTTTTTAATAGGAGCGAACGCTGTTGACATACTGGTAGGTTTATGCCCACACCTTCTGATCTCCTCGGCTGCTAGGTTGATGAGTTTCTTATTTACGGCAGTGAAGGACTTGCCGCCAGAGACCGCTTTGATTATGCACTCAGTAAGTTTTTAGATAGTCGTAACAAAGGTGTGATCCACGTACTTCCGTTTAAGATGTCTCTTTCCGACGCTGCCAAGCACTATTGCATCATTTTCTTTTACTTCGTTACTCCTTCCATTGTTAATATTTTGTTTATATTTATATATTGTGATAACCAATTATTTGATTTTGTGCTTCGATCACCAACATCATTAAAGCTAATTAAAAATCTATAGTAAAAAATATAGTCCTCGCTTGGCAGGTGGGTTGGCAACATCACTTTATTATTTTGAGTTCTTATGAGGAAGATGCTGATACTCCTGTCCATCTCCTATTTCCTTTCCCTTTGTCGCCTATAATGATACCCATGGGATGATATGAGATACTTACTGAATATTCTTACACCGCCATCACAATATGAGTTAGGCAAATCCAAATCATCCTTTTAACGAGCTAATGATAAAGAAAAATTATACATAAAAGTGGTTTTAGGAGATGCAAGAAAATTGACATATCTAAAATGGATTGATGAATATATATTTACCAGCTAAACTCGGTTGACAGATTCCTGTCTGTGTATACCAATTTTTCTAACGGTCGGTTGAACGGCATAGAAGTTGATGTGCTACAGCGCCATCTATCGGTGTGTTACAAAACCTAAGATAAGAAAAATATTGAATATATGTGCCAAATTTCATGACCAAACGATGTCCTTTTCCCCATTTCTTGGCCTGCACGGTTTGTGCGTCAGCCATGTTTTCCATTTTTCAATGTATAATTATCCTTCGTAGTACAAATGTATAATTAGCCTTCATAGTACACTGCTTCACAATATCTTGATGCGACACATTGTGAAGTCCTCGGGAGATTTTGACGACAACTTGAGCCAGCAGACAGTTGGCAATGGTATCTCAAGGCGCCTAAGCAGACAACTTTATATTGAGAATGACATCACCATTGAGAGCACTTGTTTCACCGTTTCCACTAATAGTTCACATGCGTAGACACTTAATTTGTGGCTGTATAAAGACTGTATAAGCGCTTATACAGTTTTTAGTTGTTGTTGCGCTTATACAGTGTCAAGTTGCTAAACAGCCTAAACAGTACTTCGAGAGTCTTGTAGTCATAGTAGTTGTACTATGTATATTATGGATTCTAACATGCAAACAATGGTTTTTGATCAGCTGTATAATAGAATATTTTTATTACTACAGCAGTTTCTTCAACATAACATATAATTCTGTTTAGAGATATGTTTTAAATATGAAAAACCTTGCCTTGGGACTTGTGTTTCTTAACTTTTATTTACATTTAACATGATCTTCTAACTGCACCAAATCTTTTTCTTTGTTTCCACATATCGATAAGAAATCCATTTTATTAACTAGTACAATATAAACACTCAATTTATATAAAATGGCGATATTCTACCACTTATACGGATTTAAATTGTACTATAGCTATTATTTATTTTTTCAGTTTTATATCGCCGTCCTAAACAGAAGTCATAAAACTACTTTATTTACAAGAGTGTATAACTACGCCATAAAAATAAGTTTTAGAAGGGAGTGTGCACACACCATAGTTCAGAAATAAGATTTGAGTGATACTAACATTTAGAGTTGTATAAGCAAGTAACAGCATAAAATAACAGCTTCTATACAGCTTTAATGATAAAATCAGATTGAAGTGTTACAAGATACGTAAAGTTATATAATAGACTTTTCATATTTTAACTATGAAACATAGGCTTACTTAGATCTTAAGAAAGAATAATACAGACTTTGTACAGCTTGAGCTGTACAAAGCTCTTTTCAACACTCTTATATGCTTCTAAAAGAACTCTAAGATCTATGAGAGCTGGTATATTGATGTTCATGAGGCTTGTGCGCTGCTTGGATAAGATATTGGTACTAAAACAGACGAGCTCTCAGTCAGAGGAAGAATCAACCTTACATAAAATAGACAACAAGGGTTTAAAACAACTACCTTGGCTCAAACAGACTTTTTTGTTTTAAATTGCCAAAACAATTTTTAAACAGGGCATATACAAACGAAAACTCCCACGTGACGTCGCGAATAGCACAAACTAAACGCGGCAGCCTGTCATATCTAACCGCTATAAATGTAAAAATAATATGACTGCTATTCGCGGGCACATCGTACGTTATTTTTATTCTACGTAACATGTTTTGACAGTTTAAAATATTAGCAACGCGATGAAATAACACAGCATTAGGAAATTTGTTACAACTAAAATATTTCCTGTGGAAAAGTCGGCATTTTTTTTTAATAGAGTAAGACAAACTGGCACATAGTTCACCATAATATGATAATTGGATGCTGTTCACCAGATGGTAATCGAATGCCAAGCGACCTTTACATCTATCCTCGATTAAGGATCAAAATGCAGATGCGTAGTCATCCTTGAGGACTAAGATGGAATGCCTCGTTTTCTGTAAAAATAGTGTCCGGTTCTTTACACTTACCATATGAAACGCAACAACTTTAAGCTGCTGTTTTACGCTGATATTCTGTAAGAACATGTTTTTTTCCCGGTTGAGTTGATCGATTCGTGTTACAACCATAATATAGATGGATCATGGCTCGACCACGTATAATAATGCTGGTAATTATTTATTGCGTTAACAAGAGTGCAATTTAATATTTAAAACTGATAATTTTATGATTAATATTTAAAAAATAACCTCAATGTTCTGTT